TAATCGGGGCCCATTCGAGCCTTCGATATTGCGATCATTTTTCTCTACAGGCCAGTCTGCTATGCCAGTTTCTTATGCTCCTCATTATGCACAACCAAATGAAAGTGTTAAAGATGAGTTGCACAAGTGTTTGTTATTTGGAGTCCAGTATCGATACTTGATTAGATGGAGAGATCGTCCCCCTTGGCCGGACCACATTTTTGGGAATAAGTTGCAGTTTTCGTTATTATCAAGCACAAAGTTTCGATATTTGGTTTTTCAGAAAGATCGTCCCCTATGGTCGACATTTATCCACTCGACAGGGTCGAGTTTTCTCCCACCCCGAAAGAGTTCATGCGGACATCATTGGACCCATTATGATCTATTTTTGTCATTATTGGACCTTATTCATTTTATCGTTATTGGACCTTATCATTTATGTTTTCTATTTATTATTGTTATTGGGCTTGTAGTAGTGGGTTGACCCAAACCCATTAGGTTTTCACTATTTATTGGTTTTTTTTTTGAGGAAATTAGGCTCACTACTCTAAAAAAACAAACCAATTAGATTAATGCACTTAACATAAATTTAAACCTGTAATCACCGTAATTTATACGTCCCAACACCCCCAAAGAGCTTCTAAACTAATTGCTTAACTAGAGAGGAGGCGGAGCGGAGAAATCTCGGGACGTCAGCACGTCTTCAGCAAGAGCCCAATCACCGCCATACCCAAGTGCAGCTCGCATAGCCGATTCTGATTGCTATCCACAGTACACTGCTTCTCTCAAAGGTAATTGTCAAACCCCCCAATGCACAATTTAACTTCTTTTTGTTTGAGTGAATTCTTGTTAGGTTTACGTTGTATTTTTTTGTGTCAAATATGATTGTTGTTTGATTTTATGTTGAATTGTTGTTTTTGTTATAGGGTCTGTAAATTATTTTGTGGGCGATTAAAAGTCTCCCTAATTTGTACTTCCAACTACTTGCCACTAATTGATTTTTACAGCGTAAAATTTCCTTCCGAAGACGCCTGTTGTAATTTCATCATGAGGAAAATCTACATTGCCCCATCGTGAAGACGCCTTTCCGATCGGTAAGGATCTCTGTAGAATCTATAATTATTTAGTATATGTGATTTATGCAAAAATGGTAATCGATCTATTTTATGTGTTTAAACTATGATTTCAAGCAATGAGAAGTTTCAGATAAATTAATATCAGTTTGCACTATTTGATTTTTCCTTTCCATTTTTTCATTCCAACTGAATATCATTATTCATCTCTCAAATACGTAATGAATGGGATTTCATTTTATTATGGTTTACAGACAGACGAATTCAGATGATCTTTTTATTTTTAATTTGTTTTTTATTTTCGGGTTTTAGATATGGAATGTGTAAACGAGTTCGCCACATTCAATGCTACGAGTTCGTCACATTCAATGCAATGACATTTGGTATCATACTGCCTATCGAATGCAAGTACGCCAATATTGTTGAGATGATATCCTCGGAGCTAAAATTTGACAGAATGGCTTCTTCCTATCGGATTCAAGTACGCGATCGAAGGGATTGAAGTCAACATTGCAACATTTGTGAAGTTTGATGTGCTTGTTAACGATGAAGATAATGATCCCTGCGTATTAGACAGGGCGGAGTATGCCTGCTGCTTCTTGCAGGTGCCACATAGAACTCTTCCAGGGTAAATGCTAAGATTAGGTTGGGATTGATTCAGCTGTTGGAGGATTTGGATTGTGTAGATGATGAATATATATTGATTACATTGGTGCCAAAAACTGGGGGAGAAGATATTACCATTGGTGGTATCAATATCATTTATGTTTCTTTAATGTGTTTTCTTTGTCAAGAATAATGTTAAGCTATTCTTGGATTAGTATTGTGTAATTCTTCTATTTGGCAATAATAAGAGCTTAATTTGGTGTTAATTAAGATTTCGAATGCAATTTACTTTATCTATATTAATTTTTAATGAAGTGGTTTATCAAGTTTTGTTATTACAATATCTGGACGGTTCAAACATTTGCTGCTTTCTATGTCTGATGTGTGTTCTCCTCATACTTTATGCCCATCATACATTGTGCGAGCAGGTACTTGGTTCATTTCTTATAATTGTCGTCAGTGTGTTCTTCAGAGTACGTCAATTTAACATTATTAGTCGTGAGAATACATTATTCCTTACAAATGTTATGTCATGTTCGTATCAATATATTGCAAGTCTGAAGAAGAAATAGTAATATTCAAATTGCACTTCTTCGATTATATCAATGCTACTTCCTTTGATTAAATATGCTGTGTGCCTTCTTAATATGGATTTTAACACCATCTATAA